CTAGAAAATCACTCCTGCCTTTTTTAGCATTTGTGCTCTTGCAATTACATTGCATTTGGTTTAGCTGAAGTGCTTGTAAGGTTCCACATTATCCCCTATTCTCTAGCTCCTTGTATATTAATCCTTTTTATCCTTACCTGACCTTTCTAAAGCTCAGTTTACACTGGAGCAAACTATGCTTTCACATATAGGAAACCTTCAGAAAGCCTTTTTTTTTCTTTTTTTTTTTTTTTTTCAGAAAGACAAACGACCCTTGAGAGTCTTTGTTCAGTTGAGAGGTCAAGAAGTTTTGGGCTCTAACAGCCCTTTTCTTCAGGGACAGTCACTGCTGGGTGACTCAATTGACATTAATGAGCCTTGGAAAAACTGAGAGTAAAAGAGCTGAATTTCTGTTACTGGAACGTTAAGAATGCTCCAAACTCATCTCCAAAGATTGGAAAAAAAAAAAAAAAAACACAATAAACTCTAATATGTATCCCTTGCATCCATTTTTTTGGTATATGATTTGTGTTAAATTCCCTTCCATCTGGCCTATGCTGTTAAGGTGCCATGGATCTTCATATTGCTTTGCTGTCACAGGAGTGGGTCTATAGTTATTAAAAACAGCTATGAACCAGATGATGGAAAGAGAAGTGTTTGAATGGATAGAGAAAGCAGAAAGACAACTGTGCAGATATCCTTCAGATCTTTAAAAGTGCCACCAAGCAGCTGGCACAGTAGAAGAGCTGTCACTGAAGTTGGCTTGAATTCTTCCCAGCCACTCCAGGAGCAGCCTCTCTCTGGTCTGCCATGGTCCAGTTCCTCAGAAGGCCTTCAGCTCAGCCCTGTCGTCTTGTCTGTCTGGCACACAGCACATGGGGATAAATAGATATAAGGTGTTCTGACTTTGCAGTTTTGAAATGGAACTTGTGCATAGAGTTTGGTAGTCTAACAGGAATGAAACAGAAACCTTGCTTACAGAATTAGAACATTTATGCAGTTTTGTGTGAATTAATTTATGAATGCTCATTTGCCACACAATTAACCAACTTGGATGAGAAAATGTGGAGTATATAATAGTTTTGGGAGGTAGGGACGGAACTGTATTATATCTCTACTCTGAAGATGTGAGTATGAAAAATAGGCTATTTTCAGTGACCAAACTTTACAACATTATAACTTTAGCAGACATTCTTTAGTTTGATGAATTGCTGGAGCACATGTGAGTTATCTGGTTTATCTGAATAAAGTTTGCTATTTACACTCAGAGTTCCTTGTAAATAATTATGCAGGAGCATTTACCTTGTCTATTTTATTCCCCGACAGCAGTATCAAAATTGTGAGCCACAGCCATAACAAAAACATCTCCCTTCTGCTCACAGATCACCTGTAACTCTGTAATGGTTCATAATGGTGCTATGTGAAAGTTAAATAATTATGCCAGTTCTGTATTTTTTTCCAAATAGTTGTACCCTGGATATGGAACTGCTTAGAAGTGGTTTATGTGAGCAACCTTGAATTGGTAAAATAAGGGAGAGTTGAAATGGCAAAAGGAAAGAAATCTAATTTACTCACTGGTGCTCTCTTTGTACAGAAGTGATAAGAACATTTATAATAAGAATGAAATGTTAACATTTTTTTAAGATGTTTTAAGTGTTAAGGATATTAGCTTGGGCTTGTGGGTTTCCTTCAGAGCAGCAAACATAATTTCAGTCTGTTGTATCTGCCTGCTGCTTTAAATATTTCACATACACAGTGAGTATACTTTTGTAAAAGATAATAATATAGCATTCGTTTAAAAAAAAAAAAAACAAAACACACAAAAAAACTAAGATATTGAGATAAATACCCTGTCAAGTTATCAGGAGAACAATGAAGGTGCACAGAACAACTTAAGACACAGTGTGGTGGGTTCTCTGACTTACAGATCACATCAACATTTACTCCTCTGCAAAGCTGAGTACAAAGCATGTTCAAAAGCCAAATGCAGGGACTTGTATCTTGTAGCCATTCACTGGATCAGTATCTTTAAACAGGGACTTTGTCAGTTTTCAGACAAACATTCTCCCTGACAAAGCACATATTGGAAACTAAAACAGTTTTAAACTATCTCTAAGCACAGTGGAAATCCACATCCAGTCATTTTTTAATGCCAGGTCTGTTTCCCAACAGAGGGAAATATCTTCGAATATTCAATGTGCCTGTCATACCATATCTTGGCTTTATGAAAAAATATGAGAAAGGGCTCCTGTTCTTTTGGAGTGCTGTGAGACCGTGTGCCTGCCAACAGTTCAATTCATTAATATGGCATTAAGATAAAATATAAAAGACTGTAAATTTATCCTCTTCCATGAGATAACAGCCTTGACCACGTTTTTTAGATAAAGCAGAAATCAGACCCACATCTATTTATGTAGCTAAATAGATGCAGAGCAAGATAAATATTCAATTACAAATTTTACACTGTTTATCAGTTATGAGCAATACAAAATCTCTGTTACACCACTCTGATTACCTCTGCAAAACACAGATCGGAAAGAAAGTAAAATGGAATTTAGAGATGTTGGCTTACCAGAGTCATGGGTCTTGCGCAGCTTGTTGAATTGTTGTTTATTGATACACAATGACTGTGTATCTAATTAAATAAAAGTTCAGGGCTTTGCTCTGTAGCTAAGGAATATACAATATCCAATCCAAAAAAAGAACTACTCAGTCATGGAGGTGAACTGGGAATAGCAGAACCTCCCTAATAATAGCACATTCACGAACGATTTTGCAAAATACAGTATTCAGGAACACAATATTCACTGCAAAGCACCAAATAGCCAGCAGAACTAGCCTTTGCAACAGTATCACATTCCATATCTTAACGTGGTTTTTGACTACTGCAGCCCCCAGACTCTTTTTTCCTTTCTCCTTTTTAGCTTTATCCTTATCATAAATGATTGCTCTATCGCATCTTTTTCCATTTTCAATAAGCTCATTCAGTATTGCTCTGTATTTTTAATTCAAATGAAGGAGAGTTATTGTTTTTACTTTAAAAAATATTTTATATCTGGTTTTTGACATTTTAGATTCAATGTGGATTAAAAATAAGAAATAAATGAGGTGGGAAAACAGTGCAGCAAGTCCATCACTTTTCTTAGCAGTTCCCATTACTATTGACAGCGGATTGCTCTGGCTGAGACATAGTTTATTGCTTGGTCTGTGACTTTTGAAAAACATGAGAGTTGCATTAGAATGTTCTGTGCAGAGATAAAGAAGCTGACAACTCTGAATGGCTTGCTTCAGATACAATAAACAGACAGGATGGTTTGTCTCTTCCAGTTTGCCTTGTTTTCCCATCTTTGTCTTATTTTGACAGGATTTTCTAACCGACAGGTAGTCACTCCAGCAAGTCCATCCGATCTTACAGAGCTTATACTCAAACAATTCTTATATGCTTTTGCCCATAACTCAGCACAAACCTCAAATATTCAGCTATGGCGTGACAGAAATAGAGGTGACAGTTTTCAATAACCAAGTCACAGCCATCCTTTCTGATTTTATTTTTTTTTCTTCAGTCACCAAGCCAGCATGGCCCTCAAAGACTAGGATGTGTTAGTCACTGGGAGATGTGAAGCCAGAACCAAAAGGTTATTTTGAAATGGAGTAAATGAAGTTAGAGAAAGTTTACCCGATTTTCTCACATGCCTGGATACTACCTGTAGGCTCCTCCTGATTTACATCTGTTCAATCTCGTTCACTTTTAACTCCTCCTTCTTGTGTTCAGGTTTTACTGATTTCTGTTGTCAGCCAAATTAAGTTAGGAGGAAGAGCTGTGGGTAGTCTTGTAAAACATTGAAGTGGGACTACTGTCAGTTTGTACCTAAACTACGTTATCCACAGCACTGTAATTAGTTGCATAAATGGTTGTATCTCATTTTGGTTATGCAGGCATTCAAACTTGTAACTTGCGTACTCAGGGTGCAAACAGGTTTCATGTTTTTCCCTGTCTTTTATTTTAGGGAAACTGTTAAAAATGTGTGTACGTTAGAGTAATTATAGGTAGAGAATTTGTTGGGCAAAGGAATATTGAGCTTAATGCAGTTCCCAGCATGCTAATAAGAACTTATGTAACAATGAACATTCTTTGGGCCCTGCAAGCTATGTCACAATATCTGCAGGGGGTAGATGATATTAATGACAATCTCTATTTTAATTTATTTTTTCCCCATTTTCTAATTATTTAGATTCTGCACCTGGATCAAAATCAAATCTAATTTTCTTGCCCATTTATGACTGTACAACCCAAAGGATCAGGGAAAATCAAATGTAGGATAACTGCAGGAGGAGAAGCACAGGCTAGTTTTGCAAATTTTTGTACTCGGCAGATCTTTAAGGTAGTTCAGGAGGCTGAGTAGCTTTCAGGAGTCTTTTTTAGTAGCTGAGCGATTAGAGTGACTTTTTGCTTCTTTGAAGGGTGTGCTAACTGGTAATTACTTTTTTCATTTAAAAGGTGTGTTGTCATGTGAAAATTACTGATGCAACATTATGGTAGTACTCCAGGTTAGTATGACAGCCTTTAATGGCTATTTCCTGAAGAAAGTTTTATCTTTGCATGAGAAAGTATTTGTGTGTGTGCTTTACTACCTGTATTTTCTGGTAAATCTCATTACACAACAGCAGAACATCAGAGAGTGCTTTGGATTCACCGGTGCAAGATGTGGATCTGAATGTGTAGCATGTTAAAATTGTAGTGCTTTCTATTTCTGACCAAAATAAGTTTATTAGAGAATGGATCAAAGCAGAAAAGGAAAGAAAAAGTGCAAATAAAAGAAACTCAAGTAATTGAAGTAAAGCTAGTGTTAAGCCTGGGCAGGATGAGACCTTAGTGGTTACTGCTGCTTTTGTGCTGTGATTGCTGCAGGGGAGGTTGAGGTGAGATGCATTGTTTTGTGTTTGGTTGGTTTTTTTTTGCTTAGAGAGCAACTTCAACATGTCATGTGCTATGCTAGTTACTAGCAGCTATGGCTCCATACACAAAAGTGCTATCTTGTCCTCTTTTGCACCTTTATTTCTCTGGGAAAATGAGAAAGGTCAAATGCTTTCCTAAATAGCTGACTAAATATTTCCCTCAGCTAAAATGGCAGAAGACGCCATAAGGCAAATGTGACTACAGCTGGGAGGCTTCATCTCATTTTTGCCCTGCTCATAAGACTAAACATGCCAGTGGTGCTTAATATCCAGTGACTCAGGAGTTGGGAGCTGAATTAATTCTCAAACTCTTTGTTTGCACTCCAGTGCAATGCACAGCAGGCTGCTCTCAGCTCTAGTGTAGCTCACTTGCCTTTTGAATATAACAGTGATGCTGACCTTTTAGAAAGAATTGTGTTCTTCTTTCCAATGGATGGAGATATTTCTCAGGTCAGACTAAACACAGATATCTGAATTTGAATTAATATATTTGCCAGAGCAATAAAATCAGGTGAAAATCAAAAGCAATCTGGAAGAAAAAATGCTTTCATTAAAGTAAGGAATCAAAGACAAGGGATATCATGATGTACACGAACATTAAAATGTTATTCTTCTTTGCATCCTTTCTCATATTCACTGATTTCCTTTCTGCTGACAAAAAAAACCAATATATATGTCTAGAAGAATGTACTTTCTGCAAAGCTAGCATTTTTATTAAAAGCAGAGTCCTTCCTCATTTATTATTTTAAATTCCATTACTTGTTTCCAAGGAGATAAAAATATGCAGGAAAGTCATCTGAGATTCAGGCTTGCAAGGCTGTTTTCTTTACTGAGAGCTAAATGTGCCCTGTTTTAATGAACAAAATACACTTGGAGCTGCTGTAGTAAAAGAGGCTGGGACTTTGGATTTGATTTCTGTCCAGGTCAACTTTCTGCTTGTGAGTGTTGGGAACAGGACTATTAAATATTCAAACCAGTATCAGATAATTACTTCGTGACTCAGCTGTGCTATTCCCTATGCTGACGCAGGCTAGGAAGTTCTTTTGCCCACCCACCCTTCGCAGTAGTGGCTGTCTCTTGGCAGTGCCAGGTATTTCAGAAGCACAAGGCAAGAACTGATAGCAGGCAGCAACTTTTTCTTCCTGTAAGTTCCTCTTAGGAATTACTAAAGCCTAGATAGTTCCTTATTTAAAAGGCTGTATCTGTTCTGTGAATTGCCAATGTCAAGTTCCAAACAGTAAGAGATTTCTTTCTTCTTAGTTTCCTTCAATAAAATCATAAAAAGAAAATATACTGGTAAATAGATCAGTTGTCTTACCTGATGTTGTCTTCACCACCTCGGTTGTATTTCTTAGTCCCGTAAAGGAGAACTGGTAGAGCCTCCAGGACCTGGTATCTCCCACCTCCACTGAGCTGCGCTTCCATTGGTAAATGATCTCTTCCCTTGGGTAACCATCTTATTGCAATGGAAAATACAGAATGCTTTGTTTCATAGTCATTGCTAGGATTTTAATGTACTCTGGGGAGTAAAAATACTATTTTCTATTTCTGGAAGAAACTGGAGAAGCATATTGCAAGTAAATTTATATATATACATATATACTTTTCCCTCTAGTTACTTAGTACTAAATGTAGTAGTAATGCAGCATTTTTACTATTGTAAAATTTGAGGTACATTTTTCAATATTGAATTTTGCACTTTATTGTGCAATAGGATGTAGTTTTGACCATCTGTTTGTTTTAAGGCCCAAATCACTTCAATTGGGCTCAGTATTCACTCTTTGACCTAAACACAGAATTCAAACCCTTGTCTCCATCTCTTGGAATAGCATAGCACCCATTTGTGAAGAGAAAGTATCAGACCACAAGACTCCAATGCCAAAGATAAAACATTTTACTTTTGTGCTGAAATTTAAGCATAAATATTAATTGCAATGTTTGCAGAAGTCATATCAATTTTACGTAATGTTCTTAAATTATCTTTGTGCACATGTGATTTCCGTACTTCCAAATAAATACAAAATAAAACTGAAAATTATTGCATTATGTTTAGCAAAAACATAACCCTAACTGACTCTAAGTATATAAGTTTTTAATAAGTAGTTCAGCACGGGTCAGGAAAGAGCTATTTCTAAGCATGTTACTTACAGCTTGAAAATTCCAGGGGGCAGGAATGGGCATCCATTGGGAAGTTGTGTAACTGTAGCTGACACTCAGCATCAATCGTCAGTCTGAGGAGAAAGAGATCAGATATACAGAACATACATGAGAAGCTTATGCTAAAAACTTCATAATGGCTAGCAAAACAGGATTGTTACGAGTATGGAACCTGAGTATGAAATATGCATACATACAATGAATATAGAAAGGAAGAGGAAATTATTAGTATGTGTGTATTAATTTGTGTTCCAAACTGTTTTTCTGCTTTTGAAGCAGCATTACTCATGATTAACAAATCCCTAAGTGGATACACAGATCTTCTCATGAGTAGTGGCAAATTTCTTTGTCACAACATGCCAAAAAACACTATGGAAACATATTTTACAGGAAAAAAAAAAAAAACTACTTCTTAAGAAGCAATAGTCAGGAGACCAAATTCAGACATCTGCATCCAAGATAGCCATCTCAACTATCTTCTTATCTAGTGGAAAGAAAGGCACTCTGGGGATATTCTTGATTTCATTCCAAAATAGACATCTAAATTAAATCTGAAGAGGAATGCACCAGAAAGGTTTTTCTCTCTACTGAATATCAAGTGGTGTAGGTGCTGCAGATCTTTATGAGGCAGACACATGTACTTTTAGAAATCCAAAATTAAACAAGATGCATCCCCTTATTTGCCTGCTGAAAATTCCATTATTTTTCATTTAATTAGCCTATACGTAGCCTCAGTCATGCATGACCTGCATGATACCTGAATTGTTAAGCAAATAAGCAGCAAAAGAAAAGGCTTTGAAAAGGAGGAAGGAGTGGGAGAGAGGAAAAAGCAGTAGCGTTTATCTGCTCCTTGAATCTCTATGAATGGGTTGTCCATGAGGATCCTCGTGTCTTTTCCTGCAAGATATTTTCCAGTTGTTTGGCCCCCTTGATTTGTCTTAATGCATAGGATTATTCCTCTGCTGTTACAGAACTTCAAATTTTCATATGCTAAACTCCATCAGAGTCATCTTGGCCCATTTCTCCAGCGTCTTATGGACCCAGACTTGGGATTTCTGAAAGCTAGTCTTAGCAGTAAAGTCTGAGGCAAAGAAAGCATTGTGTACCTTGACCTTTTCTATGTTCTTTGAGACCAGATCCCCATTCCCATTCAGTGGTGTGCCCACACTTTTCCTAATCTTTCTTTTGCCGAAGATGCATGTGTAAGGACTCTTAGTGCTTTCCTGTCCATCACTGAATTAAATTTCAATTGAATTTTGGCTTTCCTAATCCTGTATCTAGGTGCTTGGGCACTGTCTCTATATTCCCCCAGCTTTTATCTCTTGTATGTTTTCTTTTCATGTATGAGTTTTGTCAGGAGCTTTGTGTTGATCCATGCAGACCTGCTTGCTTGATTTGTTTGCTCGTCTGGATTGACTGTTCTTGAGTTTGGGAGAAGGAATTGAGGAAATCAACCATCTCTCTCAAACAGAATCCCAGATCTGCAATGATACTACCACATTTCTCCTCAGGATTAAACCAGGTTGAATCCTTACTGGTGTTTGCTGTGACTCACCAGAGAAACTAGGCATACATTAATATTTGATACAACTGTAAGTTTTGTCACATATATCTCATTCTAATGAAGGAAACCAAGAGGTCTGAAGAGAAAGGTGATAAAGTCCAAAGAGATTGTAGCGTATCTAAGTCCAATTTAACATTTCAAAAGTTGATCTAGGATCTTCTTTATCAGGCTTACTTTGATTTACCTTGGATTTCAATTCCAGTCATTCTCTTATCTCTTGCAATGTGATGCAATGTGTAATGAATGTAAAATAACTACAAAATGAAACTCTTTTTTGTAATTCAAATATTTGCAACATTAAAAGGTTGTCTTAAGGAAAGCTTCAAATGATTCATTAGAATGCTAATGAGCATACTTTTCTGCTTTTTTTTTTCTTTTTTTGCCACCCAATAAAACAAGAGCATAAAATCAAAATCACTTTGTAAAAATAGTCTGAAACTCTGATGGTCTGATAGTCTGTCTTACAGCTAACATCTTTGATTCTGTATTCTCCTTTTAAATTTTGAATTCTCTTGAACAGATACCATCTTTGCTTTACATATCTTTGCTTTACCTAGGCCCAACTACTATAACACTTTAGAAAAACAACAAAAAAAACATACCTATAACTTCCACATTTAGGAAATATATTATAATTGAATATATATTATTTAATTAGTACACATTGCATATGTAACATCACAGTGTAGGTATGCATGTAACTTCATTATTTAAAAGATTTGTAAAAGTCTCAAAATAAAAATTATCCAGGCTGATGAGAAATCTGAAGACAGACGTTTCAAATTTGGATTCATGGAAATTTTGAAACAGGGCATATCTGAGAATTTGACCTAAACTATAAATGACCAACGAAAAAAAGTTATTCCTTTTTCTCATAATATATTTGAGGAATAAAATATTTTGTCAAGGTGAAGCCTTATCTATCTAAATAGTAATTGGTTCAGAGTACAAGGCCTCTGCTGCAGATAATACCTCATTTATAACATCTCCTTGATTCAAGGACATTTCTAATTCGTTATTTTAACCCAATAAAAAGTTAGGCAATATGGTCCAAACCACAGGTAAACAATAAAACACATGAAAATGAAGATGAGTTACTTTAACCGTGCTTATCTTCTTTTAAGTATAGAAATATAACTATTTTGAGAGCAAGGCAGTAAAATCTGTAAGTAGAAATGAAACTATTTTACTGTGTCAGTATCAAATAAATTGCATGCAAATAGTGTATTCTAAATATGTCTCCGTTTTAGGGTTGCACATGTAAGGGAAAAACAATGTGTGTTGATGTCAAGTGACCTGTATTCACAGAACCCATCTTTTTGGTTTTCCCTTGAGAAACTGAAATTAAAGCCAAGTATAAATACCTCAGTGTGTATAACACTCTGCCATCATTCCAGATCCTGAGCATCCTATTAGGAGTTGTTATCCAGTGAGCATCAGCTTTCTTGGAATTTCGGAAAAATGTATCAGGTATCCAGATCTTCCCAACCATGTTGCTGTTTAATCTGAGCACTTTTATAGTGCTGTTAAACTTCAGACGTCTGTCATACCACGTTTGGGCGAAAAATATATCAATTGTATATTCCTGTTGTGTCAACCAGAAATACTGATGAAAACATAGCACTCAGCATTTCACATTGCTTCTGACATACTTTCCTTAACGTCATATGAAAAACAAAAAGTTAAATACAGATGATACTAGAAGTGATAAAAACATTTTTAATGAGACTTTTGAGAGGGTTGTTTAACAAAGATTATTGTTTAAAAAATATTTGTCATTATTTTCCTATTGACAAATTGACCCACATTAAAATGGAGTTATGTATCTACTATACACATTCTGTACCCCCACGCCTCAACCCACACTTGATCATGTTAGAGTACAATTACTTATTCCCTTGGACCTAGAACAGCTAAGATTTCAGCTGATATGATTGTCGTTATTGGCTGTGACTGCTAATTAATGTCAAAGTGGTGAAGTCTCACTTTCACCGGCATCCACCAGGCAGCCAATTGCTGCAAAGGGAATTGTAGAATGCAAAAGAGTCATTTGAGATTTCTTTCTGACCATTAAAACTACAAGAATGAAGCAAGTAGCCATTGTTCTGCTAAGGCTAGACCAATTTCCATCAGCTATACGAAGATATAATTAAACTTTGCTCTTAGGGTCTAAGTTTTCCTCTTTTATTTCTCTATGGCAGGAATGGTAGTATCACTGGTGAATGCTTTTGCCTCTTTTGTTGTAATCTGGAAACTCAAACTCATCGGAGCTAATCTGTCACAAAACAATGCAGAATACGGTAATAGATTTGTGAAGATATATTAAAATTATTATTATTCACAGTTTAGCTTGTTGTCTCATCCAGATTCATAGCTCATCTAGTCCTCACATCAATAATAATGAGGTTTGAAAATAATTTATATATAATATGACATTAAAACTATGGAAACCTTGTAATGTCAAAAATGATGGAGGCTTTGCAACAAATTGAACATTGTATAAAAATGTGGCATTCACCTACCATATTGATAGCATTCACTGGCCCAATGCTGTTCACATACATGTCAGTGTGAATTACTGTTGGTTTAACTGTAAGAGAAACAAGAGTCACTACTATGAGTGAAGGTCAAAGTCAACTGCAAAAGAGTCAAAATGATGAAAAGATTGTTTTAATACCTCTGTTGTATAGCTATGGATGCCTCACATTAAAATATGCTGATAGAATAAATATAATTTTACAGCAATGTCTCCAGGTTAAAATAAGTTGAACAATACAACTTATTGTATAATATCTATTCTTGTATAATATCTCTCAGATACATAATTATATCAGAACAAATTCTCTTATGCTATGAGAACTAATACAGAAACCAGCGTCATTGCTTTAGTGAGTCATATCTGATGGAGAGTATGTGTATTTCATGTCAAATCACAGCAACACATCAGGCAAAACACTATCAACAAAAGTAAACATTCCTCTCACAGCGTGTTGCGTCACTAATTTAACGTTACTATGCTGAAAGCAATGTGACTGCTGTTGCCTGCAGAGATAGCTGTAGATAAGTGACAATTTCATGAACCCCAAATAGTATTAATACTCAAAGTTCTAAAACAGGAAATAACCAGTCGTTAGAATAATTTATTCTGAAATTACTTCAGCTTTATTATTCTCACGTACCTTGACTAAAACACGTTTGGTTGTTTTCCCAGATGCTTTTTATGAATGCTTAATTTCTCTCAGCCTTCTAATGTAGAGAGAATAAGGCAGATTCTTCTGTTAATTTAGACGTACATGTGCTGGAGGTTAAATGTCTTTAGTTTATAAACCCCTATAAACTTGTCTCTTTCGTTAACCTGGCTGTTCTCTGTGTTCCTCTGCCTACCAGTGAATTCTCTTCTTGTTTTACTGCAATCTTGCTATTTATGTATCCTCTTCTACAGACATATCTTCTGGCTGTTCTGTGCCCACAATGGGGCCTTCTCAGTCTAACTCCTGTGAGCTGAAGGACCTTTATTTCTCAGGTCCCTCAGTAATCAATGGAAACATCCCTGCAAAAGCTGTTTCACTTCAAATAAGATTTCCATTACGGGTCTGAGCTCCAGTTTATATACATTAGTTGTAGGGGAAATCTAGGGAAATAGAGTAAATTTACTTGATTGTATTTATCTTTTGTGAAACCTCCTGAGTCACTTCTTGCTCTGCTGAGCAATGATTCAACAGATTGACATGGAGCTGTGTCAGTGGAGGGTCTGGTTGGATATTAGGAAAATGTTGGTCACCAGAGGATGGTTGGGCACTGGAACAGGCTCCCCAGGACAGTGGTCATGGCAACAAGTCGCTGGAGTTGAAGGAGCATCTGGACAATGCACTCAGACAGGGTTTGGATTTTGGGTGGTACTGTGTGGAGCCAGGAGTTGGACTTAATCCTTGAGGATCCCTTCCAGCTTAGGATATTCTTTCATTCCATGGTTCTAAATGGCATCAGTCAATTCAGACCTGTTACTGTCAGAGTCTCTGAGAGTCCATCACTCTGTGCAAGGATCAGCATGCATTCTCCTTACTTAGGCCTTCCTTTCCAATATATGTATCTTTTGACATATGTATATATATTGATAAAGGATATATATATATATATATATATATCCTTTCGATTTTCTAACAACCTCTCTTAGGCACACAAAGAAGAAAAAACTCTTCCTAATTCCCCAAAATCCTGTGCAGGTGCATGATTACATGTGGCCTGATTCAGCAAATCACAGCAGTCTTAGTAGCTGTTTCAGGAGAGATTTAGGAATCTTAAAAATGTATGCAGATTGCCAAAATCATGGCTTCTTTTTGTGCCAGTGATATTTTACTATCTCTTGTCTTGTTCTCATAACCACTTTAGATGGATTCTGCTTCATGCACAGTATAATATTGTATGAAAATGCTTTCCCTTCACCACTTAATCAAAGTTGGGCTTAAAAGAAAACCAACATACCTCCTATATCAGGTCTTAATTTGTTGTCATATCCTTCCAGCAAGCCATTTAAAATAAGAGTGACATCACTCTCATGAACTTTGGGAGTCAGAACCCAGGTCTTATTTGAAGTGTAATCTTCGTAATCATCATCTCCCTTTTGTGTGGAACTGTTAAAGACATAAAAATGAAGAAATGGAAAGCCTTGAAAAGTACGAATTTGCAGGTAAACTCTCTGGAAACAATACACACTTCAGATTTCAATAGTATTGTACAAAACACTGAAAAGTAGCCTGCTTTATAAATGGAGACTCACAGGAAAGATCACACATTACTGCAGAGGTTGTAGTTCACTTTAGCAAAATCTTTTAATATGGTTGAGCTCATACTCTGTATATTCAGAGAAGCATCAGTGCTTACCACCTTTGGCATGTCTGTTTTTCCTCTCACTGACTCAGGTGGGACCTATTATAAAACAAATCTAATTGTCATTTAGCTTATGCAACTCTCCACCAAAATATCACTTAGTATGTACACAGTGTTGTTGAATTACTTTCCTTTGAGAGAACAATTTGATGCAACACATTACTGACAAGAACAATAATTAGATTCATTCAGTCACACAGCTTCTCTCCACTCTGATGAACTTGAGCTTATTGCGCATTTGGAAAGTTCAGCATAAATTTTTTCTAGTGTTTTTCACTTTTGCTAACCAGAACACACACACAAAAAAAATAGTCCATCCATCATTTTTTTTCAGCTTCTGAGCAGTATGGCAGCAGATGTAGTAAATTCAGCCTTCCTTGTGCAGTAAAAAAGAAGTTCGGCACCAGAAACATGTAGACTAGCACTAATGGTTGTTGTGCTATCTTGAAGTCTGTGCTACCAGGTATAGAAGAGATGACAGAGTCTAATTTAGAATATGACATCACCAGCTATGTCAGTGCTTATCAGAACGGAATGGTGCTGAACAGTTGTAAGATTGTTTCTGGCAGAACATACCAGTGCCTTCCTTCCCTGACCTTCTTCTACAACAAAGTTTGAGCTCTGCTGGATATTGAAACTGTTAATGACAATACAAATGTCTTAAGCAAGTGGGTGGAGTTTGGATATGAATGAGTCAAAAATTAATGTTCCTATTTGGGACTGAGTTTGTGTAGTCTCTCCTTAACAGCACGAAAGTGGGAAAGTGCAGGGAAGCATATTTGTAGGGGGTCAAGAGCACGTGTTTGGCACATGTGAAGAAAGCAGACACAGCTGATCGTGTTCGTGGGAGTGATAGCAACGGAATAATTAGTCCCAGAGTCTAAAATCTCTGTTCTTCTAACACAGATCTTTGCTCAGCTTTGGCCTTGCATGTTCCTCCGTACAGTGCTCTCTGATGCCTCCAGCTTAGACCTACCCAGTGTGAAAAGCCTGAGGGCTTCCCCTGTCTTGAGCCTTTGGAGGTGTAAGCCAGTGGCACAAATACAACTTCAGTAGGAAAGAGACTTTCAGTTCTTTGTCCTCCATCAGCACAGGCTACTGAGAAAGAGCCATAGCACTGCCTGGCCTCATCACATAAAACTGCTTTTTCCCAGGAGGTGCTGAAGGTATAGTGAACTTGGAAGCAGCATGAGACTGTGCACAGGATAAAAGCAAGCAGGAACACACAGCACGAATGAGAGAGCCAGGCTTGCATTGCGCTGAGCTTGCTGGTGAAGTTACATCAACCTGTACCTTCATTGCCTGTACTAAATACCACTACTGTAGCCTCCAGGCATCACCTAACCCATCCTGCATCAGCAATACATCCCTTGGAGCTTTAGCATTCCATGTCAAACAATAGCCATCCAGCCATCCTCCCTTTGGCAATACAGACCACAACCTGTCTGTAGTATTTTACTGGCAATCAGAGGCTGAATTCTAAACAGCAGTATGCTACATAGTAATCTGCTGGTAATGAAAAACAGGCCAAGATAATTAAATTGGTGAGGGAAATTTGTTTATTCAGCTGTCTAGGGTTGAAAGATCTAATTGCAATTCAAAAGAACATAATTGAAGCGGGGTTCCCCCTCCTGAAGGAAATCCTTCTAAATAGATTCATTCCAAACAGAAGGCACTAGATTGTATGTTTTTAGTCTTCAGAGTAATTGAAAAAATGATTTGAAGTATAAAAACCCATGTTATAAATTTGAAGTATAAAAACCCAAGTATAAAAACTCCTGTTGTATAGTCAGCTAAATATCCCTTCTCCAAGAAGAAATCATTTTCTAAATGGAAAAGAGGAAGCAAATCAAATACATCCTTTCACAAAGACGGCGAGGCCCTGAATATGAAGGTGCTGCAAACGTGTCCAAAGTCAGGCAGACAGGACTGAGTGCGTTATATTGGACATTGTGAAATGAGAAGATGAAAAACCACATGCTTGTCTGGGACACCTCTCAAATCTAGAAAAACCTTATTGAAGAGCAGCCTGCAGGCACTTCTTTCCCTTGGTATTGATTTGTAGGAAAGTAATAGCTATTTGTTTGCTTATCTGTCATTCCAAACCATTTTGGCACTCTGAATCTCAAACTGCAACAAATATTTTATGAGATTAGCATGGAAGAGAGGGAGGGGAATACAGCCAATGCAACTAAGGATAAAGCCACCAAATTCCATCTTTTATCTGAATTCCAAGTAGATCGTAAGTCAACATGGATATCCAATTGCCTAAATGTCTGTCTTTGTAAAATTGCATATCAGCCAGAACAATCAGGGGTGCATCTATATCCAGATAAGCAGAGTTTTTGCAGTGCAAGTGCCATTAATACTAATGAAAGTTATAATGACAAAGCCCTTTTCATCTCCTTAAGACTTTCAGATCAGTCCTTCTGATTATATGGCCTAAATTCTGCAAGAGCTTTTAATATCCAGAACAAATTTGGTAAAGTCCAGATTATACTTAAATACACACAGAAATCTGTTTTTATTTTTGACTGCTAGAAGTTTTCATGTCTAGCAACAGAGACAAGCAAAGGCACATGTGCTTCCCTATTTGCAGATAACAGTAAGTTTTTTGAAAGTTAATGTTTTGGACATCACAGTAAAATCTCACTCATTGAGATATTCCTACTTCTCACATTAATGTTGTAGT